AGGACTCAACTACGGCCAGATGAGCAGCCCTGAAGCAGCAAAGGGTTTGGAAAGAGCACTAGCTGTCGCCTCCGTCCTCTGACTTCCTGCTGACTCTCCCAAGGCTGAACCCAGGAGGAAGCCAGAGATCCCAGTGTTCAGTGCACAGCACCCCGCCAGACATGGAGGACGAGAGGGAAAGGAGGCGAGTGGAAATGGAGGGGGTGAGGACCAGCCAGGACAGGGGAGGTGACCCACTGCTGTGGGAAGGATGGCAAAGGAAGGTCAGGCAGCGCCAATCACAGCACACCCTGCAGTGTGCAGCAGGGACCAGCCTCACCAGCACGACTAGATCAGCGAGTGGGTGACACTCAGTACAGTTAATCCTGTCATTTTTAGCTGGTCAAGTTTAATTACACCAACTTGGCAAATTGGGACATTTTGAAAAGTAGCTGTAAAAGGGAACCATCCCTGCATATCTGAACCTCGGTTTCTCCTCACCAGAAAGAAAAGTCTCCCTTGCAAGTGTGCTGTGAGAATGAAAGGCCAATCCTTCACATGTGGTTTTTTACTATTTTCTTCTTATTTTTATTATCATCTTACTCTCGTTAACAATGTCACAAGTGCAGCCTGCTTCTGTGTAGGTTACCTATCGTGTGGCCCACAGTTGGTAAGTTCTAGAAAATTCTACTGTGATCTAGAATACTCAGCACATGCTTTGGCTTAGGGATCTCCTGAAGACATAATCACATCGCTGTCTGAATGATGTTTGCAGTTATAAACCTGTCCCAATCATAATATCATGCCAAACTTCGGAGTGTCCCAATAATTAGCACCAATGCTTTAAGAAAAGGAAACTGAGACTGAAAGGTACGACCAGATTTCTGACTCCAAAATACATCCCACTCTTGCCCTGCATTGCTTTTGGCTTTCTACCTGTCAGTGTGTCACCTCCCATGTCGGGGTATCATTTGGAACCTACCAAAGAGATAATGTGCACTTCAATTTTTAATTTAATCTAGTACTCTTTATGGACTGATATCACAAATAACTTCCATGGCTTATCTTTGCTTGTGAAAGCAGCCTGAGAGCTCAGCTTCATCAGGAGAGACAGTCTTGGGACAAATAAGTCCCTGCCATGGAGCTGTACTGACTTCATTGAACCCCAAAGGACTGTCTTGTCAGCTTTGGGACGAGCACCCCAGATGCCTGATGTGACTATCAGAACCCGCACATGTGCCAGACTGGAATCTTTCTATCACAGCTCATTCTGGGTGACCTTCCTAGGTACCAAGTCCTCAAATGAAAGACACAGACTCTCTTCTCCCCTGTCCTGCCCTCATTCAAAGGAAAATGCCTGAGCACCCAGGAGAGGAAGGATGAGAATAGAAGGAGGAATATTTTCCAAGCTTTTTAAAGCATGAAATCTTGATGGATTTCATCTCTGCCAAGTCACACACTACCAACCTATGAAATTACACTGAAAACCCAAAGGTTGGAATAGGGCCCTTTGCAGGTGATGGCACTCTGTGACCTAGGTGGTCCCATTCTCCTTGCTAGAAAGGAAAATAAAGGGGGAGAGTGAAGATTTGACTTGGAATATTTTATTTAAAAATAATCTTTTAGGGCTGGGGGTGTAGCTTGGTGGCAGAAGGCTCGCCTAGCAAGTGGAAGCTCTGGGTTTCATTCCTGGCACTGCAAAAAATAAAGACAATCTTTTAACAACAGGCTCCAGGCTGGGGGAGGGGGGCAAGGCCTACAGGCGACTTCCTCCCAGCTGCTCTGGGAGGAAGTGGGGCACAGTGGTTTCCAGCAGGGCTTTGGGGTCCCACAGACCTGCCAGAGCGTACTGCTGCCGCCACATATCTGCTTAGGCTTAGGCTTTCACACTTGTTTCTGCGCCCCCTTCAACCTAGTCAGTGTAAAGTTTAAGACAGAATGCATTGCCTTGGAGGGAATGTTTGACCTCTGTCCCCAATTCCTGTGCAGATTCTAACCCCAAAGTGACGCACTGGAGTTGGTAAGGTCGTTGAAGTTGACACCCTCGTGAGTGGGTCCAGTATTCTTGCGAAAAGGTACTCAGAAGAGCAGGTCTCTCCCTCCATGTGAGGGCATAGCAGAAGACAGCCATCTGAAAAACCAAGAGGTCCCCAACTGTGGTGGTACCTGATTTCAGTCCTGCTCCAGAAGGCCACGCCATGCAAGGTCGGCCCTCAACGGCCACCCCACACTGAAGGAAGGACAAGGAAAATGAGCTCCAAGCCTTCGAGTCACTCTTTATTGCAAATGAGAGCACGTTTAATTTTGCTCCTTGGCACCTTGCAGAATAGACATGCAATCATCTGCAAAAAATCCTGCAAGTATCAAGTGTAAAGAATGTTGCCTCCTCAACAGACAAAAAAAAACATATGCCTATGTTGAGCTCACAGCACACACGGTCCCCCCCCTGCCCCCTACCCCCAATGTGACCCATTTTCCCTTCTTGCCCCTCAAGGCTGGCAAGGTCGCTTCTTCCCAACACCACTCTGCAGCATGGAAATCAAATTTCAATCTTTCTCTCTCTGGTTGGATTTGACAACAGCTTCACTTAGCTACACGGTCCCTATGCTAGGCTGCGGGGACACTGACCAGGAGCTGGCATTGCTTTTAGGGAACACAGAGTCTGACCACTGGCTCAGTGGCCACCAGACGCCCACTGTGGAGGGTTCACACCTGCCCTCAGCATGAGGCTTCCCAGAGGGAACCTTTGAACTTGGCTCCAGTCAAGTAAAGACCTCACTAGTGTGTACTTGCCCAGGGGATGGCAAGCCACTGTGCCCTCCTTGGCCTTCCCTTCCTCCTCAGCTTTCCCATCGAGCTTCCTCTTCCCTCAGTGCCTGGGCTCTTTCCACTGTCAGATATCTTACCACACACAGCTTGCAACAAAAAGGAAAGAGAAACGTTGGGGACCACCACCTTCAGTGAGTGGAAATTCACTCACTGCAAATGCAGGACTGGTCTTGAAACGCTGTGATAATTATCAGAGACCTTTTGTGTGTTGGAGGACATGGGACCCCAGCCTCCTCCCCCTGCCCGTCGAGCCCTTCAGCCCTCCAGCCTCAGGATGCCCAAAGCCCAAGAACCACAAATTAGGGGCTCTCGAAGTCAAGGGACACAGGTGCCAGAGGCCAAGCCAGCCACAGGACCAGAGGGCTGAGGTACTGGCAGGGAAGCAAGGCACTCCTTCCCCCAGAACTAAGGTCAGCCCCAGGCCTTTGACTGGATGTGGGTGAGATGAGAAAGGAGGAAGCAAAGTCTGGCGGTGGGGGGAGGAAAGGGGAAGGGCAGATGGGGAGGGAGTGTAAATTTGTTTTTGACACAACTGTAGCTGTAAAGAATTGGCCAAAGAAGGGAATCTCAAGACTTGGTTTGGTTCATGTCATTCATAGTCGTAACATTGTCATTTATGCCAGCTGCCCTACGTTTTATGTGCAATGGACTTGTCTATGCAGGACAGTGGTGTGCGTCCACAAATGTGTCCAAGTGGTTGTTTGGTTTGATCTGATCGGGGAGTAAATGGTATATATGTGGTGTTGCAAATGACATGTAGCTTCAGTTTCTTCCTAGGTTATGGAAGCCTCTGCTCTCAACTTTAAACAAACGAGAGAGCATTGCTTTTAAGGTACTGGAGGGAATTGGGGTGTGTGCCTGTGTGGTGTGCGTCGGTGCCTCTGTGTGTGTGTGTGTGTATGTGCATGTGTGTGTGCATGTGTGTGTGTGCATGTTGTGTGCTCCCTTACATACTCAGTATTTCCCCTGAAACTTTTACTACACGCCTTTCCTATTCCCTGCCATTGGGATTTGGGATTTTTTCTTTCACTCATTAACTTATATTCATTGAAATAGTAAAAGCCTATCAATGTACCATTCCAAACCCTGACACACATATGTAGGCACCTTCCTCATTATTTTAACTAGATGTAAAATTAATAAAATATGTTGTCATACCAGCCAAGTGTAGAGTTTGCATAAGAACAAATTTGTCAAGCAAACCATCACCACAGAGCTTTGAGCCTGTCCTCTCTTCCCAAGACCTACAACCAGGCAAAAACCCCTGTCAGAGCTGGGATGTAGCTCAGAGGTTCAGCACTTACCTAGCATGAGCGAGGCTCTGGGTTCAATCCCACACACACAAAAAAGAAAAGAAAAAACCCCATGTCAGAGTTGCAGCAAGGCAGGGGGACTGCAGGTGACAAGAGATTCCCTCACTTCTGTTTCAAGTTCTGCTGCTATTCCACCTAAAGTGTTTTGCTTCGATCAGTCTTAGTGAATGAGGCAGGAAAATTAGTGCACAACTGAAGTTCTTTGGGTGAAAGATAATATTATAAATAAGAAATGCCTTTTTATAATTACAGAGACAAAACAGTGGTAAGTTTAAAATCACTAGGCAGTATTAAAATACCTTATGGAACTGGGTTTTAATTACAATTCTCAATAACAACAATGGAAAATGAATTGTAAAAATGATGTTCGTGATTATTTTAAAATTTGATTAACTAAAAGCAATCCAGCAGACAAGTGGTGTCAACCCAGTGACTGGTTCAGGTGAAAATTACACTACAAACATGGCAGAGCCACACCATTATTTCACTTAGACAGCACTTTGTTCCCAAGTATACAGGAAAAGATAACTAATTACATACAAGAGTGATACGATTTGTTTTCATTTAAATAAAGTGTGTCTTCACTATGGAGTACTTGAAGAACTCACTCAGGTGTCCAAAATTATGGAGGCCATTCTCGTTTCTTTAATGAAGACGGAATATTCATTATGCTTTCCAGGGATTTCGCTGACGGTACTGGACAAGGAATCATTTAGAGGGTGACGTTAGTCAAAACATGCAATGGCCGGTCTTGTCCTTGTATCCAAAAGCAAAAAGCCTTGGGAGGGGCCCAGAAGGAGCCTCGACCTCCCAGCTTGCCTCTCCCCTGCCCCTGTTGGTCTCGAGGGTGAGTCCTGAGTGTTGAGGACGTGCTGGGATCTAGAAGATCTTACACTCACTGATGGAGAAGAGCCCCCTCCTGTTCGTCTCCTGGCCTGGTTGACGGCAGTCCGGACAGCACACTCGAACACCTGCTGCACCCCCGGTTGCTGAGGGCCGAGCACTCCAGGTAGCCCCTTGGCTCGCACATCCTGGGCCAGTCTCTTCCCTTCGATGGCGTTGATGCAGGAGGCCCTGGGGCCCCACCTCCGCTGGTCCGTCTGGGGTGGCCACCACCAGCACGGGGGTACAGGGCAGGTTGTTCCTGATCTCCCCAATCCACTTGTCTTCAAGTTCAGGAATGAGTTATGGTGGCCACAGAGTAGCACATTAGCACCACATCGGCCTGCTGGTAGGACAGGGGCGGATGCTCCTGAAGGCATCATTGCCAGCCGTGTCCCAGAGGCCCAGGCTGATCTGGACACCATCCATGAAGACGTCCACCCCGTGTTCTCATACACTGTGGGCTTGTAGGCCTCTGGGAAGGTCTCAGAGGTAAAAGCGCACCAACAGCGAGGTCTTCCCCACGGCGCTGTCACCCACCAACACACACTTGATGGAACCAGCATCTTCCGGCCTGGGGTCCACTTACACGTTCCAGGATCTCGAGGACAGAGCCCTCAGTGGGCTGCTGAGCCAGTGCCATTCAGCAAGGAGAGAGACCAGGCAGGCTTGTGCTCTGAGGGACTCTGGTGACAATCTGTGGATTTTACTTCTCCCTGTCCACCAGTGGGGGCTTGAGGGGTGAGGGGTGGGGACAGGCACCGTCTACTCAGAAATCTCTGCAGCCTAGTCTCCAAACTGGAACAAGAAAGAGAAGGGGAAATTGAGTCTTCCTTTTCTGATTGACAACTGCCATACCTAAGGAGCCCATGTCAGAATAACCAGCAAGCCCCACTTGTCTCACTTCTCCTCCTTCCCCTTGGCATAAAGTAAAAAGCTAGGGACAGATCCCCTCAAACACTCCATGCATTAATGTCATCTCGGGCCAATAGATTTTTTGGGGGAAATTAGAGGGGTGGGGATTGGGTGTTTTGAACTCAGGGCTTCTCACTTGCAAAGCAGGTGCTCGCTTTGAGCCACAACCTCTGAGGCCCACTTTGCTCTGGTTTATTTTGGAGATGGGCCGGTCTCATGGGACTATTTAGCCAGTGCCGTTGAACCGTGATCCTCCCCGATCCCAAGCCTCCCAATAGCTAGCTAGAATTGCAGTGAAATGCAGACTAGTACCTACAGCCGAAGCTGTCGCAATAGTCCTTAACCCTCGTACTACATTGTCATCGTATGCGGGTGCCACCATTGGCACCCAGCTCAGAAATAGAAATTTCTTCTTAAAATTTAGCCTTGGTGGGGACAGCCATTAAACTTTAAACGGAGAAAAAAATTAAAACCATTCCCTCTAAAATCAGGAACCAGACAAGATGCCCACTATCTCCACTCCTATTCAACATAGTACTGGAATTCCTAGCCAGAGCAATTAGGCAAGAAGAAGGAATAAAAGGAATACAAATAGGTAAAGAAACTGTCAAAATATCCCTATTTGCAGACGACATGATCCTATACCTTAAAGACCCAAAAAACTCTACTCAGAAGCTTCTAGACATCATCAATAGCTAAGCAAGGTAGCAGGATATAAAATCAACATAGAAAAATCATAGCATTTCTATACACTAACAATGAGCAAACTGAAAAGAATGTATGAAAACAATTCCATTTACAATAGCCTCAAAAAAATCAAATACCTAGGTGTAAACCTAACAAAAGATGTGAAAGACCTCTACAAGGAAAACTATACACTTCTGAAGAAAGAGATTGAGGAAGACTATAGAAAGTGGAGAGATCTCCCATGCTCATGGATTGGTAGAATCAACATAGTAAAAATGTCGATACTCCCAACAGTAATCTACATGTTTAATGCAATTCCCATCAAAATTCCAATGACATTCATTAAAGAGATTGAAAAATCTACTGTTAAATTTATATGGAAACACAAGAGGCCACGAATAGCCAAGGCAATACTCAGTCAAAAAGAACAATGCAGGAGGTATCACAATACCTGACTTCAAACTATATTACAAAGCAATAAAATAAAAACAGCATGGTACTGGCACAAAAACAGACATGAAGACCAGTGAACAGAATAGAGGATCCAGATATGAAGCCACACAACTATAGCAACTTATCTTTGACAAAGGAGCTAAAAATATACGATGGAGAGGAATAGCAGCCTCTTCAACAAAAACTGCTGGGAAAACTGGTTAGCAGTCTGCAAAAAACTGAAACTAGATCCATGTATATCACCCTATACCAAGATTAACTCAAAATGGATCAAGGATCTTAATATCAGACCCAAACTCTTAAGTTGATACAAGAAAGAGTAGGAAATACTCTGGAGTTAGTAGGTATAGGTAAGAACTTTCTCAATGAAACCCAGCAGCACAGCAACTAAGAGATAGCATAGATAAATGGGACCTCATAAAACTAAAAAGCTTCTGTTCATCAAAAGAAATGGTCTCTAAACTGAAGAGAACACCCACAGAGTGGGAGAAAATATTTGCCAACTATACATCAGACAAAGGACTGATAACCAGAATATACAGGGAACTTAAAAACTAAATTCTCCCAAAACTAATGAACCAATAAAGAAATGGGCATGTGAACTAAACAGAACTTTCTCAAAAGAAGAAATTCAAATGGCCAGAAAACACATGAAAAAATGCTCACCATCTCTAGCAATAAAGGAAATGCAAATTAAAACCACACTAAGATTCCACCTCACCCCTGTTAGAATAGCCATCATCAGCAACACCACCAACAACAGGTGTTGGCGAGGATGCGGGGAAAAAGGAACCCTCTTACACTGTTGGTGGGAATGTAGACTAGTACAACCACTCTGGAAAAAAATTTGGAGGCTACTTAAAAAGCTGGACATCGATCTACCATTTGATCCAGCAATACCACTCTTGGGGATATACCCAAAAGACTGTTACTCCAGAGGCACCTGCACATCCATGTTTATTGCGGCACTATTCACAATAGCCAAGTTATGGAAACAGCCAAGATGCCCCACCACTGACGAATGGATTAAGAAAATGTGGTATCTATACACAATGGAATTTTATGCAGCCATGAAGAAGAACGAAATGTTATCATTCGCTGGTAAATGGATGGAATTGGAGAACATCATTCTGAGTGAGGTTAGCCTGGCCAAAAGACCAAAAATCGTATGTTCTCCCTCATATGTGGACATTAGATCAAGGGCAAACACAACAAGGGGATTGGACTATGAGCACATGATAAAAGCGAGAGCACACAAGGGAGGGGTGAGGATAGGTAAGACACCTAAAAAACTAGCTAGCATTTGTTGCCCTTAATGCAGAGAAACTAAAGCAGATACCTTAAAGCAACTGAGGCCAATAGGAAAAGGGGACCAGGAACTAGAGAAAAGGTTAGATTAAAAAGAATTAACCTAGAAGGTAACACCCACGCACAGGAAATCAATGTGAGTCAATGCCCTGTATAGCTATCCTTATCTCAACCAGCAAAAACCCTTGTTCCTTCCTATTATTGCTTATACTCTCTCTACAACAAAATTAGAGATAAGGGCAAAATAGTTTCTGCTGGGTATTGAGGGGGGGAGCGGGAGGGGGTGGAGTGGGTGGTAAGGGAGGGGGTGGGGGCAGGGGGAGAAATAAACCAAGCCTTGTATGCACATATGAATAATAAAAGAAAAATGAAAAAAAAAATAAAATAAAATTAGCCTGGTGAACACCAGGCAGGGTGGTACCCACCTGTAATCTCAGTACTCAGTGAGGCCGAGACAGGAAAAGCTCAAAGTCAAGGCCAACCCAGGTACTAGTGAGAGCCTGTCTCAATAGAACCAAAAGAAAACATAAAATAAAGCAGTCTGGAGTAACGAGCACAAGGGAGAAAGACCTCAGATACTGACCCGGCCTGCGAGCTTGACGCTTCCAGGAACTCTCCTCTGCCTTCTGCCCCCAAAGCGGGGAAGGCAGCTGAGCACGCACTTTCTGTGGCTTCAGGTCCTGGCGGGTTCCAGCCGCTTTGGGAACTGCAAGAAATAAATAAGTGTATGAGCAACAGCTACTGCACGCATCTCCTTGTTTACTGATTAATCACCCAGTCCTTGGGTTGTGTGGGAATTCACGTTGAGGCAGAGAACAGAAATCAGCAGAACCCTAAAAACCCACTGTCCTTTCTCCTGTAGATTTCCTGCACAGCTGAGCACAGATGGGGTGGACTATCTTTGGCACACTCCGTATGCATGTCTGTGCCATCCTGATGAATTTAGGGACACTTTTCAATGATGTTATGAGGATTAAATTCACTTGCTTATTTTTGGATAGGGCTGGGCTGGACCATGATCCTCTCTACCTATGGCTTCCCACATGGCTGGGATGGCAGAAGCTCCCCACCATGCCTGGCTTATTGGTTGAGATGAGGTCTTGCTAACTTTTTTGACTGGACTGGCCTCAAACTGTGATCCTGAGTAGCTAGATTTATAGGTATGAACCACTGCACCTGACCCTAAATGAGTTCTTCTTCAACATTTTTTAGATGGCCACCTGCATATCAAAACTCTGCTAAGGCTCCTGGTTAAGCAAAATAACTTTCTGGAAAGCAACCACATACAGCACTTTTCACTTAAACCAGACTGCAGAAATATGACAGGATATGAATTTTATGAAAAAGACAAATTCTCTTTTGCTTGCAAACAAGAGAACTCCAGGCTGAGTCCAGTGTTGGAGACAGTAGTTCTTGTGCTGAGGCACATTTTTGCAAGGCCAGCCCTGCCTGGGACAAAGAAAAGGTCTTTCAGCCCAAAACTCAGAGTAAAGGTTGCAAATGCAATCTGGCTTTATAGCCTCTCCTCCCGCACTTTCCTGACATATCACGTGTAAAACCCAGGCCAGACAGACCTCTGCAAAAGACATATTTTTACAAATCACTCCTCCTAATCCTGAAGTTCCCTGCCAAGACATTTTCACCCTTGTCAACTCACAGTCTCTATCTGTTTAATTATACACGACAGTCTCTGCAAATGGATTAGCAGATAAAGAAGTCACATGCTTTTTGTGAATTCATTGTTTTTAGACACATGGAAGCTGAGTGACCTTGGCCAAGTTACTCAACCTGAGTCTTGGTTTCCTCATGAAAGCAAGTTGTACGAGGAGTCGTGTTATCTCTTTTCACTATTTGCTTGGATGCCAGACATTGACAGTCCCGTAGCATAGGGATGGGAACGTCAAATGTGCAGCTGGGCTCCCTGAAGTCTCACACTGGGCTACTCTCGCGTGCAGTAGTCCTGGACACCGCCTTGTCGCCAGACCTTGGAGGAAAGGGCTGCACAGTGTCACTGTCAGAATTTAGCCCCTGAGACCAGGGATGACTTACATGCATTTTCTACTTGTTTCTGAGCTAAGACCTCTGACACATTTCAAATTTTATTTTGATCCCAATACAGAGGAACTGGAATTAGGGAAAATGTACACATGTCAGACTTTGGGTTATTAGAAATACTTTGAATGACTGACGGCCAGGTTTCTTGAATGAATATGGCTGAAAGGATGTGGAAAAGACATGATGTTAAGAACAGAGGCTTGAAAGTCAGGTAGACTTGCAATTGAACCTGAGCCGCTCAACTGTCTACCTGCATGATGACCTTGGAAGAGTTTCTTAACCTTCCCATGCCTTGATTTCCCCCTGTAAAACCAATGTGATAATATCTACATCGCAAGCTTTTTGGCAGTATTCAGTGTGCTTAAATGTATAAAAGCCTTAGCCTGACACATTCCGTGAACACACTGTATGTACATATCAAACACACAGACATGTTCTTATTGTCAGCGACATTATCAAATGATTACTTAATATAATGATAAGCTGGCAGAGTGGCTCAAGTGGTAGAGAGCCTGCCTAGCAAAAATTGGGCCCTGAGTTCAAAACCCAGTACTACCAAAAACAAGTTAATCTAAATTTAATGATATGCAATTGTTAATTGAAAAGTGGAACTTGAAGCAGCTGAAGAGGTTTCTGTGGCAAAAGGAGGTCTATGTAGCTTATTCCCAGATGTGACTATTAAAATAAATGAGAAATTTCTTCTTATAGCATAAATACAATATTACGTGGACAAAGAAATTCCTTTCTAAGCTTTGCTACCCAGACAGCTCCAAAAAGCCAGACTGGAGAGAAAGGGTCTGTTGAGTCGAGTGACCATCACAGCACGTAAGTCAGCTCTTAGGGCCTCAGATTCCCAAAGGGAATTGAGGAGATTAGCTTTCTTGGTGGTTCTCCTGAGGCTGAAGCCAAAGAGAACTCATTCCTGCCACAGTGAACCATGAACACAAGCCACATTGTCTTTCCATAGCAGTAAAGATGGGTGGTGAACTTGAAGTCAGGCGAGGCCTTCAGGAGACGGGGGAGGGGAGGGTGCCCCAGTGCAGGCTAGAGCAACACCTTGGGCATGCTTGGTGTTTACTCTTCAGAGTGTGTCACATGTGCTCATGGGGGAGCCACAGTGGACCGCCCCATCATCATGACGGAGTGATGGCTGGATTTCAGTGGAATTTCTCTGAAAGGGGGAAGTCCTTGCTCCAGTGGCTCGTGAGTGGAAAATAAAAGCATAATGTCGGTGGTATTTCATGAGTGGCTCAGTGGCAGAGTGGCCCAAAGGAACGTCCCTCCATACAGAAGAGTCACCTTGAGTGTCTTCAGAGAATGTCCTGAGTAGTCCCACCAAGTGACTCGTTAGGCTGCTCCTCTAGGGCTTCAGTCAGACTGCAATCAAGGAGCCTTGGACGCCAGCAGTTTGATGGACCTGGTTCCTCTTTTCCTTTCCCCTGTTTCTATCATTTCACAGAAAAGACACCTCCATGTTTCCCTCCATGTTTCCAACAGAGACACAGAGGAGGGAAGGGAGCAAGGTGCGGGGACACTCTGTCCACTCTGGCAAAGGGACAAAGGTAGGCCAAAAGGAGGACTTTGGAAATGAGGCCTCCTAATCCATTTCCTCTGAGGCACCAGTGGAAAATCCTAGTTTTATGTCAGCCTCAATTCTCATCTCATCCTCACAGACACCATTTTCCACAGACACAGCCCCTGCTTTTCTATTTGCTAAAAAACCTGCCCTTCACTCTTCAAGTCCCACCCCTTCTGGAACATCTTCCTTAATACCTCCAGCCCCACCCCCACTACATCAGATGTCCCCACTGTGTCCCCATAATTCTCTCTATATACACTTGACCTCAGAATCATCTCACTCTGCTGAAATGGTTGGTCTTCTTGTGTTTAACCCTCATTTGTAAAACTGGAATGAGATCTTCCCTCCCTTCTTCCCAGGGAACTTGCAAAGGCTGGGTAGAAGTAACAACATCCAGAGATCATTCCTGCTTGTATTTTTACCATACTTTCTACGTGGGGGATACTCTCTGCTTGCTTTGTTAGAAAGCCCCTTCAGAATGATATAGCATAATACAAAACGAAGTGGAATGATGACTACTAGTACCTAACTTGTACTGCAAGTCCTAGGGCAGCTGGCTTTGATGGAGGTGGCTTATTTCAAGATGCTGATGGAATCCTCAGCTGTCTTTTATCAAAAACATGAATCATGACAGCCACTGGCTGGGACAGCCTGTCAATTACGGAGGACAGCTGACAATGGAAAGGAAATTGGTTCAAGAGCCCATGAATGGAGCACATTGAGATGAGCAGGAAGTCAGCGTGGTCCTCAGCAACCCACCTCCAGCCAGCACCTCTTACCAGGGATGCCAAGCCCAACTGAGACATGACAGCAAAAGCTGGTAGTCTCAGGATGGGTGAACCTAGAGGGAGCTCTCCCTCCCAACTGCCAAGGGGCCTGGTGCTTGCTTTTCCTTTCTCCTCTTGGGGAGAAGGGAAGCAATTCAAAAATCTTAAGTAACTTAATAGGGGAAAAAAGCAACTATCTCTCAAGCTTACCACTTCAAGTTCTTACTCAGCTTTTGTTCTATCATAAATACACACTTGGATGTATTTTCTAAACACTTTTTCTGATTTTTAGAAATTCCTACTTCAACAAAGTCTGAGCACTTGGATGGTTTTAGCTAAATAGCTTTCCATTGTTTAACAATTTGTAATTGCACAGTTATTCCTCGTTTGTTAGCATAGCCTTTGAGTTGGTTCTTCAATTTCACGATAGCCAAGTGGATCTGTGTACACATATATGTACACATACAATATCATATATGTACAGGTGCATTTCTAAGTTACTTCTATGCGAGATGATTTTCTTTGGGGATATAGTCTCAAATGTGACATTACTGGGCCAGTGGGTCATTTTGTGGCTACTTTGTTACATTTATGGAGCACCTTCCAGGTAGTATGCCAAGAACTCTGTACATAGTACTCATTGGTTGTTTCAGAGCGTGCTGTGTGTCATGGGTCCGGAGGACACAATAGCAAACACGTGTCGCTGTGTTCGTGGTGATGGCCGGGCCATCACTGTGGGGAGTTTAGGGGGGATATTAAGAGCCTTGCCCTTGACCACTCGGTGAGAAACGGCAGGGGTGAAGTTAGACCCACAGAGTCTGACTCCGAAACATCACCAGCACTCACGTCACCCACACCTGGAATTCCCGCAGGGTCTCTCCACGTGTCCCAAACACAACCATGCTTCCTATGCAGACCCACCTCCAAGACACTTCTCTGGCTATCCTCCAGCCATACCTTCCTTCTCTTATCTTCCTACAGACAAGGCAATTCTTGGTATTTTAAAGGAGACTGTCGTTTCTTAGTCCAAATGCTGGTTCCACAAGTATGTTTGAGTTGCAAAACTTCCACAAGCTAAACACTCGGGATTTTATTCAATTTCTGTATGTATGTTGGCTGGGCATATGACTCAAACAGTAGAGTGCTTGCCTAGCATGTAAGAAGCCCTAGTTTCAATCCCCAGTACCACAAGAAAAAAAAAAAGAGAGAATTTTTCTAAAAAATAAGCTACTGAAACTTGGCCTGGTGGTACATGCCTGTAGTTCCAGCTACTTGGGAGGCTGAAGCAGGAGGATAACTTCTCCG